CTGACTGTTTTAGGAGCTTTTTGAGATCAAATAGAAGAAAATACATAACATTAAACATGTTAACAACACAAAAGCCATATTAAACGCAGACTACTTTAGGCCCGGAAGTAGGATTCGTCGCGTCATCACTGAACAACCGGATAGGATGAGAAATCTTTTTATGCAACCAGTCGTGGCCCCCTGGTGGCCGTTAAAAACAATACCAGTTTAAGGCACTTAAGTGTAGGCTTCAGTTGTTAGTCCTACAAGCCATGTCCATATTTTATATGATATGGTGAGTGTGCACAGAGCCTGGTTTAACAAAGACATTTAATAAAAATAACCAAGGTTGTGACTAGGGTTCTAGGTTTAGGGGGCTAAATAATGCAATAACTGAATGTCCAGCTGTGCTTTGAAGCACACTCCTATGATGCAACCATACAGATATTTATACTTTTCCTTTAATTGGCATATTGAACCGTTAATGGGAGGGGGGTGGGCTTTAGTAGTTTGTATACCGTCGATCAGGGGTCCTGTTTGCAGTTCTCTGAGGGCACCTTAAAGCACTTTACAGTGTAATAACATGTGGTCCCTTTAATGTCGGACAATGGTCAGTGCTCAAAGTCTCAAAGACATTAATAAAGAGGACAAATTGAAGACACGGAGCGAGCAAACAAGCTTACTTCACAAGAATGGCATAACAGGAGATGCCATAATTAAAACTGTCAGCAGAGCACCCTCAAGTCCGACGACACTAACCTTAACGGCCGAGATGAGCGCCGCAGAATGCTAAATGGACACTAAAATGAAACTGTGTAGGCAAATTTTAATCTTTAGATATTTACTCTAGAAATATTAAGAGCCCGTGGGGACGGGGCGGTCAAGGCGACAGCTAGCAACACATTTTAAAGAGACAACACAAACACAGGTGATTGTAGCACTGCAGATTGTACCTTTTGACAATACTCATGGCTGGTGCTGTTGGATATCAGCAAAAAGCAGAAATCAGACACGAAACTGATGAGTTCTATGTCTATTGTATTGCACATACAGAGACAAACGCTTGTTCAAGTTTGCATACGATAGTTACAAAACATATCCCTTTAGGAACCACAGGTAAAAGGTGAAGGAGGAAAGAAAAACATCCTTAAAACACACACAAGTTAATGAACCACAAGGCTGAAAAGTGGCTAGACCAAGAGAGAAGGAACATCATCTTGATGTGGTGAACTGCTGCTGTGGCTCAGGTCAGTTTCATTACCTCCACGATGCTGATGATGCAGGATATTTGTGCGACAGGAGCGGAGAATGAAAACAAAGCTCGTCCAGCTGTGGACGTTTGTGACAGTGAACCAGCTGATGCGTTATTCTGCGACGTGACCTGGAACTGATGCACAGAGTGCTCTTGTATCTTTGGCTTTCCTCCTTTGTGTGCAGAAACAGGACAACAGAAAAAAAAAGTAGCTTAAATGCACTTTGAGTTTGAAATGAGTCACTGAAGAAAAGAAAATCAGCTGGGGTGTGCTACGCAGTGACATAAATGTCATAATCAGGATTATGGCTTTTATTTTTCCTCCCATACAAACAGACTCTTGTGCAAACACACTGCTCAGGAAAGCAGTCTCATATCTCTGATTGCAAATACAAGAAAGGGTGATTGTGATAATAAAGCACGGTGTTTTTCACACCGAGTGATCCATGGCTATTATTCAGGCAAAATCATCTTCACTGAGCTCCAGTGTGAACACAGTCACAGAGATTTAAAGTGGATTCAGATGGTCCAGCATGAGGGGGATGAATGTGGGGCTGTTTTGTTTGTAGCTCATCAATCTGGGAGTCCAGCCTCTGGGGACAACATCTAATTTTTCAGGGATTCCAGCATCAGCCAAGCTTATTTTGGGCACTGGTCATCACTTATGAATACTGTTAAATTAAAAAAGTTCCCAGATGATAGCTAATGCTCTCCACGGGTATATACAAACAAAGGCTGCTTAAGGTGAGCGAAGTCGAGTGAACTCTGGACTGCTAGCAGCTATAAATAAAAAGTGAAAATGTTCCACTGCCTAAGATCTTGCAGCTCGTCTGCAGATTTACATACAGATATCACATCTCACTCGTTTGTTTCCTCTGGTGACCGCTGCGGCTGGCGACAAACCTGATGGCTCTCTTCCCTCCAAACAATTATTGTTGCTCTTCAAGAGCCGGTTAGAGTCGGGGCATGAACACTAACAGATGTGCTATGATGTAAAGCAAACAGGCAGTGCGTGCTCACCGCTCAGTGTGAAACTAAGACAGACAAACAAGCTCGAAAAAACCTCTCCTTGTTCTCTGAATCGACACCAGCTTACAGGAAAGCCACCACAGAAAAAAAACATTCTCGCCTTGAAGCACAGATTTGGTTGGTTTTATTTTTAGCTTTCCAGTCAGATCTGTGAAAATATGATTAAATTAAAACTTGTTAAAGGAAAACTCCAGCAGTATTAGTACCCCCCTAAAAAAAGAAATCCCATAAAGCAGCATGCTGCATTTCCCTTTCCCTGCCTGCTTAAGACCATACCTCGCCTACTGCCACACGCTGAGTTTGCTATATGCAAAATGAATGCTTAGTTCCCAAATCCACCTTTTTTTAAATCACTCTGTGGGGCCTTCCTGCCACACAGAAGGCCTTAAACAACTGCTTCTACATGAGAAGCAAACTGGACATCGTGTGGAAATCCCTGGGGTGTGCTTGTAAGCAACAGTCATGATATGTAGGGGATCACCAGTATGGCCAGTTTTACTGAAGGGAGAAAAAAAAGAAAAAAGAAATCAGCTTGAGCTTTTTGTTTTCACTCGCCGCTCCGTATCATACCTGCTGGTGAAGAGAAAATGCCCTTTTTCCCCTCCTTTCTTTCTTTTATTGTTCAACATTACCAGACCACATCGAGAGCAAAAAAAGCTGGATTTACATTCATCCGGTGGTGGAAGGGGAAAAACAAAACAAAACAAAACAAGTGACCATAAACAACTGATCTGATCAAATTTAATAAGGCCTGTGCTGCTCCCTCCTGCTGGTCAGGGCGTCACTGCGCAGTCAGCAACGCAGCGGTTCAGACGACACTTTTTTCAAGGGAATTCCGCTTTCCCTTAAATCAATGACATGATTCACTTAAGCTATGACTTTTAGTCCAGTCTCGACTCTCAATGCATCGTATGGGTCAGCTTCGTAATCTTGTCGCACACCCCCTCCACACACACACACACAACCATTCTCTTCTGTCCGCAAGACTTACGAAATCTTTTAAAAGAAATAAAGGCAACACTTATAGCTTAGGTCCATCTAAAAGTTCCTGAATCTAAAAAAACAAACAAAAAAAAAGAAGATATATTAGCCCAACAATAAAATTGCAGGTGATTACCCCCCCCCCCCTTTTGTCTTGTAGAAGGCACACAAACTACCACAAAAGTATAGTACTAATCTTTAAATGTGCAAAAAAAAGCCCAGTTGACTTTATTTCCTCAGTAAGGGAAAGGAAAAAAAAACAAAAGAAGAATATTCAGCACGTTTCTTTTTTCCTGCTTTCCTTTCCTGTTTCTGTGGAGGAGAAAGAGAGCAACAGTGCTGAGTTTATAGGTGTCATAGCAGAAATACGCTCTAGAACCAACGCCTCTGCAGTTCCTCTGTTGGCACTGTGTTAGCAGGCTAAAGGGCAAAGGCAGAGTCTGCATGTGCAGCTCTGATGTGCACGTTCTGTGCACTGAGAAAAGGCTTGCACACCAGCGCGAGGAGCTCTGCTTTAATATGCAACGATGACAGGCATCTCTGGTTAGTGTGATGACTGGAACGACTCAGCAGATCCCCCCCAAAAAACACACACGTGCACACACAGGGACATTTAGAAAAAAGGGGAAAAAAGCAGCACTTTTCAGTTTCTTCTTTGTCTGTTTTTGTGTGTTTCACCCTCACAGTTTATTTCTCTTTCAGTAACAGTAGCTTTTGTCAAGAAGAATAAGTTATCCAGCATTGGGAGGCACCTCTGGTCCATCACAGACTGCATCGCTCCTCTGACGGTCCTCGGTTACTCGGGCACAGGTGAGGAGGCGGTGGTTGTCGGTGGTGATGGTTTGGGGGCTTGGAGTGCCTGTGGGTTGACGATAACCTGGATCACAAAGTCCTTCTGGATCTTAGTGTCTTGCAGCCGTGTCTTGTCCGTGAGCAGCTTCCCGGAGAAGAACCAGCGCTGGTGAACGGTGTCGATGTCTTCCTGAGCTTGCAGTTGCTTCTTCAGCTGGCCTATGGTGTCAACCATGCTGACGCTGAGACGCAAGTCCTTTCCTGTGGACAGCCGCACCTACAGGGGAGCAGGGAGCAGAAGAGTGAGCTAACAATGCTGCATGGAGAGGTGAGCCAAGTTCCAAATGCAAAGAACTCAAAAACTGGTCCGTGGATTGTTTTGTGTTGGCATTTTACAGTTTTAACCCCGTAAGAAGTCTTAATACATGTCAAAAGCTGCATGAATGTTAGTACATAAGCTTCTCTAGCATCTGTTTGCACTTATTAGGCACATATGAGGATATGACTCATAACCACAGGAAGTAAATGTTGGATGAAATCTGTTTTTCTGTCCAAAGGTGAAACCAGCTGCTGATAAACCGGCTCAAACAGCTAGCTAACACAAAAACAGAGTAATGTGTAACTACATCAACTTTCCCAGAGCCTGTCAATCTGCAGCAGTTTAACAATTAATCAGGAGAAGCACAGCCACAACATTAATGATGATTTGACCCAGATGTAGTCACACTCTACTAATATTAAGGTTTTCCATATCAGAATAAAAAAAATATCTAGACTTTATCAATTCTTGAAACCTAAGACATGCTGTTTTGTTCTTTTTAGAGAGAAGAGACTTTGTTCAGTCTTTGTCTAGTTGTTCTGTCAAGAACTTTAACAGTTCACGTCAGCATGTTAAATGTTAAAGTAGGGCTGCAGAGTCTGAGAAGTGGGGGGAATTTTCTGTAACTTCCACTGCTGGGAAGAATGGTGGCTGACATAATTGTTTTCCACGTGAGAGTCATCTTTGTCACTGGAAATGGCCTCATAACCCTTCCCACACAGGTGGAAGCAATTGTTGTTTCTCTTAGGGTGTTTTCATATCTGCAGTGTTTGGTCCATTTAAATTGAACTGGTTCGTTTTCCGCCTTGCGGTTCGTTTGTGCAGGTGTGACCACGGTAATCGCACTTGGGTGCGGACAAAAACAACCACACCACTGTGGAGGAGCTGGTCTTGGTGTGGTTCCAAATGAACTCCAGAACACTTTCTTTACGGTGCAAATGCTGTAGGCTTGAGCTAAAATGTTCCTGGACCCTTGTATGCTTTGTATTCTGGGATGAGGCAAGGTACTATAGATGTACAAAGGTCTGTACAGACAACTAGTTGTGACGTGATTGCAAATTCTTCATGGTCATGTTCAATAGCCGGGAGCACAGCATCTTCTTCTTGTATTTACACATCTGGCCAATCAGCAAACTGAACACTCTCACTTGACTTGCAGTGAAACATTTTGGTTCACTTGGAATTAATATAGATTTTTCTGTGTGCAAAAAGAAACCAAAATACAAGCAAAAGCTACAAGTTTACAAAGTCATCAACTGATTTGCAGCAGACTAAATGAACTGTAGGTACGAATAATGCTGTCTTTTCTGTCTGGAACTGTGTCGACACACACCTGAATGCTCCAGAATAGCAAACTACTAAAACTTCTGCTTTTATAGAAGTGCTCACACTTGCTGACCAGCAAACAAATCCATTCAAATTACTAGCACCTGGCTGCTATCTAACCCCTTAATTGTTGTGGAAGCAGTAAGGGTGTACTCAGCATTTTACACACTGTATCTGCATTTTTTTTATTGCATGATTAATGACAGTATAAAAAGTCAATTATATCAGTTTTTATGACTTGCTCGAGGACTAGATCACTTTTTAGCATGTTCTGATATGCAAAACCTTGGAACTGTAGTTTTGGCATGACTGTATGGAGATTTACATATTTAGTTTTTTATGCAAACTTTAAGGAAAACCCCAAAACAAAGACTGAGGCAACCATTGCCTCTTGAGTTGCTAATACACCCAACTAAATATTCGTCTAAACTTAATCAGTTACTCTGAATTAATATTAGACCAGTACATCTATTTGATTACATTGAGTACAGTGTTTACAGTGTGGATTAATATGCAGATGATACCATTTAGTCCTAATCAGTTGGTAACGTGACCCGTGTCTTACAGGAGATGTACTAGTCGTGGTACCTTGAGCTGGAATTCCTTCTTGGATGCTGCTGGGGGTTCAGGGCTGTCGCTGGGGTCTTCGTCACTACGCTCTGAGATGAGGTTGATGGGTGGTGCCAGGCAGTAGACGGGCAGCTGGTAGCGGTTCCCAAGTTCATCGTAACACTCTGTCAGGGTACCTGAGAAGAGGATGCCACAGAAAAACAGGTCACATTGTAAGTTAAGTCTGGTTTAAGCAGCCTATGTGAGAGTGAGGTGAGAACTGTACTGTATAAGTATACTGTGTGTGTTCTCTCCTCACCGTGTGGCAGTGTGATGCTGGCTCCATCCACTATAGCCTGAGCTAATTCATGGTCGTTACACTCCAAGGCCACAGCGGCTGCTTTCAGAGCATCCCAGATTTCCTTGCGGCCCTCGAAGGCCGGCGCCGTGTCCCAAAACTCATCCCGCTTGCTCCGTAGCTGGCCCTCCGTCATCGGGTAGTCACTCTTCCACTTAGGACGATCTTTTTTCAGAGGCTCGTTACGCCCTGTAAAGGTAGAGGAGTGTATTAATTTAATGCTGAAGTTTCACACTCATAATACGCAACAAACAAAACAAACACCCCACTAAATTCTAAGGTCAGAGGCAGAATTCTGAAAACATCTAATTTAAGGTAACATTTGAACACAGCATGAGGTCCTCTCATTACAAAACAAGTGTTGATTAATTCACCCACATGTACAATTTATTTCCCTTCTTACTATTGTAAAAATGGAGGAAGAAACAACAGGAATCCAAACACGACAGTCAGTGGAAGTCGTTTTCACAATCCTCATTATCATGTGTGAATGCCGAATGCAGAGAGCAGGCAGCTTGGCTAATGAGGAAAGCCCAGCCTTAACTCTGTTCTTTCATCTCCTCACTGTAATAAACAGAACTGCCACACAGAAACTCGAGCTGTCATCAGAGAAAGATCGTCCTACCCCACCCTAACATGTCTTCTCAATCTAAAATTAGGAGGTCATTCAGAGTTTGCTGTATCCATGAAGCGTATGCTTACTCTAGATCTGTCTATGTAACCTTACCTTCATGTTTCCCACTATTCAGTATTAATACAGAGCACACCTAGGCCAGGAGAACACTGACTGATCTGGAGGGAAAGCATAAGGACAACAGGCTAGGATCAGCCACCCATCATTGAAACGTCCAGTGATTTTCCACACCTGTTTGTATCATAGCCAGCATAAAATTCCTCTGACTGAAGCTACGGATGTCCAGAAATAAAATACATGAAGCTATAAATCAACGTAAAAGCTTGACAATAAAACTGAGAACTAAACTTGCCTATAGTTGCTAATGCCTGCGTCACAGCTGCCACACATTGAAGAGTGGACTGATGGAAAATACAGCATACAAAAGGGACACCTCGCATGCAGAGTTGCCTTTCTTCCAGACCAATTATCTATAGTGCAGGAGGCTCAGGACAGGTAATCCTGGTGTAGGATTAGCATTTAAAGGCGAGTGAATCCCAAGTAAAGAAAAGCAGGTTCCTCACTACCACTGAGCAAAAAAAAAAAAAAAGGCCTGTGGTGTCCATGAGAGCCAAAAACATTTGAATTGATATCCAATGCAGATTAATTGCTGTGTCCCAAATGTTATGCAGCCATCTGCCATCAGATGGAGGATCATTGTTGAGAAACAGCATGAATGCACCAATCTTGGGACTGATCTTATTATTAACACAAATATTGTTAGTCCTTTTAAAAGGTATAAGCACGAAATCGTGGATACAAGCGGCGGAAATGGCCTTTCACCCAGGGGTGCATGGTTTTTCCCTGAGAAGTACAGCCATTCAGGATGGGCTCAGAGCCGCTGCTACTCCACATCGAAAGGAAAGGCGGGCAGTATCTGGGTGAGGTTTCTGGGTGACCGGGCATGTCTTGCTGAGAGGAGGCACCAGATATGCTGGAGAGATTATATCTATCGGATGGCCTAGGAATGCTACAACGTTCCCCAGATTAAGCGGATCAGGTTGCAGGCGAGAGCAAGGTCTGGGCTTCTCTGCATAGGCTGCTGCCCCTGCGCCCCGACTCCAGATAAACAGAAAAAAAAATTGCTATCGTTCTAGCGTTTTGTCATTTTAGATTTAAACTTTTATTGAAGTGGTTGGCATGAATATGGAACAGCGTGCATCATTCATAACACACAGCACAATGTGCCACACTTTTCAGTCACAGTTTATTTGTTTTTCTGATGATAATTTGTCACATTTTCAACAGGTGAAAAAGTGTTTTTCTGGAGAACATGAAATGCTCATAATGCTCATAACCAAGGTGCTGCACAGTTAAGCACCATGATTGATTAAAGAATGTGTTAAATGCTTAAAATGCCTTTGTGTAGAGAGTTTTTGACAAATTTAACTTGTTTCTTCATTTTAGAATAGTTAGTTGACTAAATGAAGGGGAAAAGTACGCTAAGAAATTAGTCACTAGGAACATCCCTAGTTTTAGCTTTATTTTCATAACTTTTATAGCATTACTGATGAAAACCTACATGGCAATATATACTACACCAGGTAAATAAGTAATTCATACAGAATGAAATGGCAGAAAAGTCGATTTTTTTCACTACCTACAACACAAATGTTTTTGTTTTTGCTTTTTTTAAAAATGTATTTATGGGTCCTGGTTAAAAAATATTATATTATTACCATTTTTTTCTGTAATTTTACACACCTAATATCTACAACCTGGTTCCACAGAGTCATGGTGACAGATTTCTTTAACTTACAATTTCAAAAGTAAGTGAGTTTTTCTACATGATGAAGAAAGGTTGTAGTACTTCTTTCCTTAATATGAAGATATCTGAGGAATTCGATGTATGGTTAAACTTCTGTATACTGACAGAAAGGACTATCACTGGTCTGATTAGGCTGTATGTGGCCCATGATGTGAAGATGTGTTTGACATTCGTGAGCTATAGACATATTGCAGTTATGTCAACGTGGATGTACACAGTGTACAGGACACCCAAGTGGGCTCAACCTTGTAGTCAGTTATCTTATCACCACGCTACATCATTCAGCTTTCTGCAGTTAAAGACACGGCCCGCCTCTGTAGTTTAAAAGTGTTTTTAAAGCATCTGTAATGGTACTTAAAAAAAAACCCCCAAAAAAACACCACATGCATTATTACTACAATAGTGCCGCCACTGTCTTTATATGCTCTGTTTACAGATCACTCAGCTCAGAAAAGCTACCGACAGGTCCACCTGCTCCTATTTTGTAGCACATAGCCCTTAACATGGAACATGCTGGCTCTTAGAAGCTTATTGCATCAGTATCATCAGTAATAAACACTGCATACATTAAAGGCACTATGAGATTCCAAACTCTCATGAGCTCATTGAAAACTCCATTGTGCAACATGGCTCTATAAAACTTGGGTACACCATAAAGACCTCCTCATTTCTAAGATGAAACACATGCTGTAAATCCTCAACTATCTGTTTCCATTCTGCCGAGGCAACGTGACGTAACACTTGCAAAACGCGTCATACAAAAGAGGCTTGTGTTACAACAACAACAACAACAACTACTTAAATGTCTTCTTTTCAAGTTTTGCCTACAGCTATTGCAAACTGTTTTTTTCCTCCCCACAGTCTGTGTCACTTTATTCTGCATTTATATCTATTGGTTAGTACAGGGCTGCTCTAAAGTCTTGAGCCAGCCCTTATTTCTTTATATTTTGCTTCCAAGAAACCAGACTTGTAATTTTTAATGGGATCTTGAGCAATAGTTCTCCCGGCTTTCTGAAGGTCTTGCAAAGGTTTTCTTTGGACCCTACTCCTTTTCTGTTTGCTTGTTAAGCCATTTAACAACGACCTATAAATCATTCAAGCATCAAAAAGGCTTCTAACTCAAGGAATGAACCAGTTTTGTGCCTAACAGGCAACTTAGAAAAGAGCCAATTGTGAATGGCTTCTTTAGGCACTTTGTTACTAGCAGCCTGTCACCAAAGCACGAAATACCCATTTCTTTTGCTGAATCTATGAACAATGCCAAAGCTTACACATTTTGACAGGACACCGGCCCTCGAGGCCTGGAGATGCCTACCCCTGGTCTAAAGCAGTCTACTGCCCCTTAGTCAGTGATGTTGGAGATCTTCTCAAAACTAACGGTATTATGAACACAGGAAAGTACCATTAGGGTATAATCTGCCAAGCAGTGCCATCTCTTTCCAAATGGTACTGCATGGTATTGATTCACAGTTGGCATTTTTCAGCATGACAATGACCTCAAAAACACTATAAATGCAGTAAAAGCATACCTGGGTAGGAAATATGTACGTGTAACACTATCGGTCACAGACTATCCTTCACAAAGCCCGGACCTCAACATTATGTGAGCAGTGTAGTGCACATATAATGTCTTAGTCATTAAGCTTTTTTATTTTGGTCAAATAAGGTAACAGAGACTTTGGCCTCATACTGGTTAATCCTCTTCATCTTCCACTGAGATGCTCAGGAGTTTAAAGTTTGAATATTAACAAAATTCATCAGAAGAGGGGATGGGTTGATACACGCAGCACAAACAGCAGTGCTGCAGTACACTCCTATGAATCAGTGTCACTGTGTCTGTACTTATAAGCAGTGAGCTAAACTGTATAGAAAAAGAATAGGGAGTGTGACCGCGTGCAAAAATGTTCACATTATAGGAGAATACTGCTGAAACTGCAGTACGGTGAGAGAGCGCGACTGACAGAAATAAAATTTATGGGGATAAGTGTGTGTGTCTTAAAAAAAAACTCGGTGAAATGCCTCATAAAACAGAAAACAGCAACAAGGCTTCCTTGTGCTGCAAAAACAGCACACCCGACAACTACAGGTGGCTGATGAAGATTACCTAACGCTAGGAACAAATGCTTTACTTTACCAAGATGTTGCTTTGAACCTGCAAAGACATTTAACAGCTGCACACATTCCCTTGAAATAAGGCAAACTATCAGGGGGGAAGGTGTGGTTGTCCACGTTCTTCCTTTAAAGAGCAACAAAGATAACGCCGCTGCCAGATGACACTGACCGAATTGCCACTGACCAAATCAATATGAGGACGTACTGGCGCACACTCACTCACGTGCTGTAACTGCTTATCTTATCACCACTTTTGTTTCCTTCACCTTTCTGCAGCTAAAGATACAGTCAGCCTCTAAAAGCTACTTTCGGCTGCTCCCACAGCCACAGGGGGTCGTCACAGCGGGTTGCTCTGCGTGTTGGATTTGACAGGTTTTTATGCTGGATGCCCTTCATGACACAACTCCATCCTAATATAATATCATCCTCTTATTAAGTGAGCTCTTTTGAGCGACCCATTCTTACACAACTGTTTGTAAAGGGAGATGGCACGACTATGTGACTGATTATATACGTTGTGACAAAGCCTGCATTCAAAGATTAAGAGGTGTGGCCCATTACTTCTGTCCATGTGTATGTTTATGTTGTTTATGCTGGATTGATCACTCTAATAGCGGTCACCCTTTAAATGGGAATGTGCTTGAGACAGCTGTGAAACGGGTTTGGTTCAACCAGAGCGATGATGTGTTGATGTATCAGTAACCCTGCTCGGTACGAGACGAGCCAATAAAGTGAAAATATGACTTGAACGCCTCCAGGTCAGAATCCAGCCTAGACGTGACAATACAACAGCCCAGCTGATTTCTGGTTAGTCTGAGACAGCTGGATACAGACAGTGCTGAGAGCCACTCATGGGAAAGCTGGTTTGAGGTTTGATCTATATTTGCTTTTTACTGAAATTGTAAACCACTGTTACAGAGATGCTTAAAAAAACAACAACACTTGTAAATTATAGACATTGTCAACTAAAACAATGTGTTTCTCCTTAATCAAGCTGTTTTCTAAAGCAATTACATTCAAAATAGATAGACCACCTTGGAACGGGCAGGTTTCACTTTCATTTACAGTTCAGCTTACTTTCCAGTGAATTGTTTTGTTGATTCTTGAGATCCTAATCATTGAGAGCTTTGACATTATCATGGTTAATCAGTCTACCGTTATTATTAGGTGATTTACAAAACTAGCAAGCGAACCTTGTGCATATATATTCAGCAGGTTTTGTATACTCTTATAGCCTGATTGATATTTGACTTTTTAAAAATCAATATTTAAAATAAACTGAAAATTGTGCATTTCTAATCACCTTTCAGTTACATCCATGCTGCTTCTAAATGCGTTACTATCTTATAACGGGTTTCTGCAGATGTTTATTTAAAGTCCAAACATGTTCTTCCATTATTTTTCTCAGCATCACAATGCAAACGAGACTCCTTTTTGTTCCTTTAAGCGTGTGGTAGGCAGACCTAACACGAACATAGTAACACAAATTAGTGAGCTCTTATCCAAACAAAATTGGAACAAACGAAAAAATTGAGATCCCATATGAGCTATCCAATTCTTCCTCTTATCAAATGGGGTTTCTTTATGAGCATGTATGTAACAGAGTTACAGTCAGTATCAGTCTCAGTCACTGATACAGCGGGGCATGATGTGACTTGTTCTTGATCGAAGCCTTGTCTAGCAAAGGGAGCGTGTTGAGTCTAATCAAGTTGGGAAATCAACATGAGCCACTGCCAGAAAGCCTGGGTATCTTGGCTCTGACAGCTTTAACTTTAAATAGCTACTCTGGCACACGACAAAGAAACTTACCTTGAAGGTCATATTGGCATCAAAAATCTATGTTAGAGTCTAATTTTAGGATGCAACTCCATAAGCAGGGGTCAGAAAGTCTATTCAAACAACGCCCTTTTTTATATGGCGAAAGTTGGACTCCATCTTCAAAACCTCCCATCTTTCTGATGCAAACTGGAGACAATTCCCACTGGAAAAAGGCGGACTGAAAAACTTTCCAGCAGTAACAAATCAAGGGGACAGAACCTGCATCCAAATGAATAACAGACATTTAGTTTCCTGAGCAGCCACTCTAAGGCAAACACTGAGCTCAAGTATGCTTGCACTGTAGTCACACAACCGTGCGTGCTTTTAAAGCAATATGACAGAAATATGAAAAAGCTGGAAAGTCTTTTCCCATCCCAAAGTGTTTATGTGACCCCCATTCATGAACCTGCCAGGCTGTAAAGCCCTAATCTCCCAATAATGACTGTATCATAACAAGGTCACACAAAATATAATCACCATTGTTTTCTGGAAAAGTAGAAAAAGTTCCCAGTGTCTAATAATTCAGCTGCACTGCGCCTGTGTGTTGATGGTTAACTTTAGTTTGATTAACAAAGTAGCAGTTTATTATTATGTTAACTTCCAGGAAAGTCCGTAACCAACAGACATAAACTGATGTGAAAAGAGAGCAACTTCTGGAATTAATGTAACGTAGCTGGCTGTTACAGTAACCACAACACAGAGCTTACGCCCTAGATTTTAATATACGAAAATCACCCAACGAGCTTACTGTCATCAACTTTGGTACAGATGTTATCTGAATATACAGCTACACCAGTCTGAACTGATAAGATGAAAAACTACCTCGTCAAAGCTAAAGAATCAAGCCCTTTTTTACTGATACAGAAGAGGCACACATCAAAGTCAGACAGCTACAGCAGGATCCAGTTTCCTGATGTGTGTGAGGAATCGTGTATGGAGATTTCGTGCACCTGCCCTCTCGTGGCTGCTGTTAAACAGAGGTATCGACCTCTGTTTAACAGCAGCCACGACACAAAAAAAGGATGCGAATCACAAGTGGTGGCCAGAAATGCACTCTCAGATAAGTCTGAACCTGCTATTGTTATAGCAACACAAAACTATCAACGCCGAAATATTTCTCTTTTTTGGCATCACTGATCATCAACGGACAGAGACACTGTTGCTGTATGACTTTAAGTTTCCAGCTCTTATATTTCAAAGAAACCTCTCCGCATATTAATACAACATCCACACAATGTTGCCTTACCTCCTCGTCCACCGTTCCTGGAGGAGCCCCGACTCTGCGAGTCTTCCCAGCCTTCCAAGTATCTGCCCATACATCCCCCCATGGCTAACGGGCTCCAGATCGCTTTTACGGGTCTCACTGGCTAAACAGGGCCCCCATTGCGGACGAGGACGATGTACTAGGTCCGATGAGGAGGATGGTTTTCACGCACAGGGACGCAAGCCTGATATGTCATTCGTAACCGCACTGAGGGCGGCAGTTAATATTTAAATCACGTTTTGCAGGTCTATACGTTTGAGATTAGGGCTTAAAGTGCCCTCTTTGTAAATAACTTCTGCCTGCGTGTTGACACGCGCACGCAGAGTTCACGGCTCGTGGCCCGCACCAATGTTTCAAGAGTTTGAGCAATCCCCAGCATCTGCCACCAGCTCGTTGTTAGCTTCAGGATATATACAGTATGTTTCTACTGTTTAACGTAGCTGGGCTGACTTGTAAGTGTTGCTATTAACCCGTCCAGACACAGCGCACCTTTCTCGCTAACAGGCTAACAGGGCCAACACGCTAGCTACCACGGCGTAAGTAAACACAAACTTCCGCGCGCACGATATCATTTCCCCGCATCTTCCGTCTCTGACAAACGCAGCGGGTCATTACAGTCTCCCTCTGTCCGCCGTACGAAGGAGTACTTCAGTTCTTTGACGAGCTCGGTACAGTGTTTTCTTTAAATAGCCCCCCTAAAAAATTCTCCCTACTTCGCTGGTGAAAGGTGACCAGCGGCAGTCTGCTAGCGCCGCCGAACTTTTTTCTTTACGCTTGCGCAAAAGCATCCAGCCAGGTGTTGGTTTCTAATGCGTCGGGACTTGACGCAATTATGAACGGAGGAGTCCGCAAATTAATTTGTACAGCGGAGTTATCATATAACAGCTACACGTTCTTCTAATGTCAATACACTTACTTGAAATTATACTGGTAGTAATTAATTGGAACCTCTTGAAAAGCAAAACTTTAGTGGAAGGGAGAGGACGTGCTAGTTCTAGTATTTGTAATGCATTGTTCGGACAGTACTTGAATGCAGCATTAAAGGAAAAATCATTTTGAAGATTTTCTTCCACCATTTCTATAAATATGAAAAACGTGTGGAAATAATATTATACTGTTTTTAACGGTTTTATTTTTATCAGATATAATCTAAAACCAATCGCTTTTCGCGATTCACCTAAAGTTTTCGCGCATGCGTAGTGCCAGTGAAGTAGTTACAGGGACACGATGGCTGCGGACAGTACCTTGGCGCTGTCTCTGGTGGAGGAATTTGTGTCTGGACTGCAGGACAGCAAGGCCAAAGATGCAGCAAAAGGTAAAAGGCTTTCGTCGCGGTTGGCCGGTGACATTTTTCATAAGAGTAACACCGGAGAGGCTGTAGAGCTACTCTCCGAGGATGCGCAGCGAGACGTGATGGTTAACTAGCTAACTTAGCGCCACAACATCCTGTGTAGTGTTATAACCGCAAGATAAAGAGTAAGCATTCGCCGTGAAAATATATTTGCTCATTTTGTCGATGTAAATGCACACTCTGAATGTATACATCGAGTTTGAACACATTGCCACTTCACAAGGACTCTTAATTTGATGCTAGTCCGTAGTGGTTAAAGCACATGCTGCTTGCTAGCTGCTGAGTTTGTGTAAGGTAGCCTGTAAATGAACCCTGTGGCCTTACCTTTGAATTATAACCTGGTACAACTACTAGAGTTAGAGCATGCGTGTACTTGCATTGCTGTAGCTCATCACTTCACTTCACTAAACTTATTTGTTTGTTTGTTTTGTTCAGGTGTCAAAGACGGGAAGTTTACAGTTCTGCAGCTGGTGGAAGCACTGGGGTAAGCTGTGTTCATCGTCATGTCAGGGGAGAATATCAGCCCGAACCAGCCAGAGTTTGCAATTATATTCCTATCTAATATCAACTTCCATCTTCATTACCTTTCCTGTTAAAGGTCCAGTCTGACCAGTTCTCAGCCTCCCACTCGAGCCCGAGGAGTCCTTCTGCTCTCTGAGGTTTTGCAGGAGTGCTATAGAGAGCTTACAGAGAGAGAAGGTACACCTTTCTCCTTCCATATACTGTGCCGGCATTGCACAGCTTCTTGCAAAGTGACAAATCAAAAATGCACTCAAATAACTACATTTTATATTCATATATGTCTTACGATGACGCTTATTCATGTCAAGGGGCGATCAGCACTCAGCATTTCTTCCTGTTCTTCTCCGCAGTGGAAGTGCTTATTGCCTTCTATGAAAACCGTCTGAAGGATCATTATGTCGTCACACCTCCCGTCTTAAAGGGGCTAAAGGAGCTGGTTAGTCGTTCTTTGATAACATTTAGTTTCTGCTCAAATCTGCAAGTTTATTTCAGGCTGGGGGGCTTTTTTTTGAGAAGTTCCAGATGTGAGCAAGGTTGTGGATTTCCTCTTACTGTTTTGTTAATGTACATTCCCCAATTCAGACAAAGTGTACAAACCTGCCTCCTGGCTCAGCTGTGTCCATGTTGAGGTCAGTGTTCCAGGACATCCACGTACAGGTGAGACTGTCATATTGTTGTACATTTAAAGTGTTATTGTGAGGAATAATGACAGTGCTGGATTGATTTTTACCTACATAATTTCATCTTTTTAATACTTAGTTGTGAACTTTGTTCATTTCATTTTTTTCATTTATTTGTTCATTTTCAGGCACAACAAATACCTATATTGAACATAAAATGCACAAAACAAAAAACAAAAATTCCCTGAAAAAGGAGTGGGACGAAGAAAACTTATTAAATCCCACCCCTTGTTGTCTTTGTGTTCTTTAAAATGGGAATTGAAGAGAACGTGGATTTTACAAAGACCGCATGGTGTATTTTACTTAACCAAAATTATTGCCAAGATCAAGTTGTTGCTTAGAAATAACTCACCTAACATCCATAACTAATCTAGGTCACTGTACTTGGAGGGTTATGCTAATGTTAAAAATTACATTTAAGTAATTTGCAGTGCACGAGTTTGCACCATTAATCAAAGAATTTATTATGATTAACCAAACAATTCACGTTTTACATTCCACATATGATGTCAACAGTTCCACTGTCTGAGTTGTTTTTTCTGACGTTAGTGGACATTTTGTGACTTTTCCTAGTTTTGCGGTGTTTGATTTTTCCGAAAGTAATGCATTTAAAACCTAATGTAGCACACTGTCGGAAACATCGTGCCACACTTGTTAGATGTTCTTGTTTCCTCTCTGTTATTGTTTTTGCTGGTAAAACTGACTCATCTAAAACCGTTCCTACTAATAACAAATGTATGTATTTCCCCTGCAGTCTCTGATGCTGTCAGAGAGAGCATGTGTTTACAGCATGCTTATCAACATCATGGAGACCAGAGAGGCGGGTAAGAGATTATGGTTTGATTCACAAAACCTCAGTTAACAGAGACAGAAAGCTCTGTGGAAGGAAGCAGGTCATGTTGAAATAACCGGTGATTTAAGAATTGAGCATGAGTTTTAAAAGTCGGACAATCTCACAGCAGTAATGGAAGGCGCTGACACGCTGTCCTCTGTTTGGCTAATATTTTAGGTTAACAGCCATATGTAAAAAATGAAAATGGAGGGCTGACAGTGGAATAGTTGTGTTTAGCTACCAGCTGTTAAAATGGAAACGCTTACAGGAGGGATGGTACTGTGACCTGGGCTTTGTTCCAGAAAGCAGATTTAACAAACTTTAAATGTAAGCTCTGATTGTTTGGTTCCAGACCATGTTCACCGTGGCAACGGGCAAGACCCTCCTGTTTAATTCTGTGGATCATGTTTGATTGCGTTGTTTGTATTAACAAACAGAAGAGGGGAAAGATATGATTTTTATATATATAAGTAGCAGAGATGTTTACTCATTTACACAGAATCATTTCATTATTATATATAAAAAACAGCTGTGATCTAAATGGATTTTAAATGAGTTGTAAATCTTCGTTATTCAGCTGTGACCTGACAGGTACAGCATGCAGGTTACAGCAACTGTAGATAAAACAGTTTAATTACAAACTGGTGATATTAATCCGATCCAGTAAGGCTGATTGTAGGTGATTTGTGGGGTTTAATGACTCTGTTTTAAACTATATTAAGAACACTGTCAGAGTCTTAAAAATCATTACACTCTTCTTCATCTCCAATATGATGATAATCAACATGACTAATCACAACATTCTAATCACGATTCAAACCGAGTCATCAAAGACTGATTTATCAAAGTAAACATGAATGAATCTTGCTGGGATCTCTGGCTCTGATATGAGCTTTGATATCTGCCCTCTGACTTAGGGAATGAAACGTCATACAGCTGCTTCAGGAGCAGTCAGTGTGTGTGTGTGTGTGTTAAATAAGAGGAAGTGAATGATTGAGAAGAAGATGCAATCATTAGAAAACTGACAAATCCCGTTAGTACCAATGTTTTTTTTTAGCTGCTGTTACTTGTTTCTTCCATTTTAATATTTTGACTTCACATAAGAAAATTAATCTTGCGGGTTTTTTTGCTCTTCATGCCAAAATAATAATCATCCCCACCTGGAGATGGTAGTAAGCTTCACCGATACACCCTCACCAGCTTTCCTAGTTTTGAGGAAGAGACGGTTGGTTGTATAGTTCCTTTATCGTGGCACTCTCACGCAAGACATTGTTAGTCATTGTGTGAACCAGTGTTTGTCTGTTGTGTTGCAAAACTTTTTTTTCCCCACATGATGTGTCCCTGCTTCGTTTCCCCACAGAACTTAAGGGTTTGGGTGCCGACTTTGTCTTCGGTTTTGTGCAGTCCATGGACGGGGAGCGAGATCCTCGCAACCTCTTGTTGGCCTTTCAGATTGCCAAAAACCTTATTCACAGAGGCTACGAGCTCGGTGAGAACACCATAATTTCTTCTCACCGTCACCTCTTCTGTATTTCTGTGCGTCCCTGACCTGCAGCTCACCTTTTTTCTGCCACAGTGATCAAACTGTAACTCCCATTCATTTCCTATCTGCTGTCTCAGGTAAATTCACAGAGGAACTGTTTGAAGTGACGTCCTGCTATTTCCCAATCGACTTCTCCCCAGTAAGTCCCTGTTTACTCAGCTGGTTTGGACCGAGAACTGAGTGTAGCAGACATAAATGTCATCACTGACTTCCTGTGACCTCAGACAGACTCTGTAGGAAGTTATAACGCAGCGACTGCTCGCGAAAAGCAGCTCAATGTCACAGAGCATCACAGGTCTCTCTGGAGCAAAGCAGCACATGGGTGCAAAGCTTGTTGTGTATGTGACGTAAAACATCATGTAAAGTATAAGAATGGGCATATTTAACCATGTGTATTATTAAGCATTCAAGGCCAGCATCCCTCATCTGTCTAAACTGAAGAGGAAACAGGAAACAGTGCAGGATCAGCATTAGTTTATGAACACTTTAGACAATATATCCCAACACATCAGTCGACAGATTGGATCATTTAGAAAATCTATTATTATACATTTGCATTGATCTATATGAGCATGCTATGATAGTCATAGTTTATATAATGATTATATTTACTGATTCACTAATTAGTGACCATTTTAAACCATAACATGTTACAAAGTTTTCGTTTTCACAGCAAATTTTGATTTAGCTTTAATCTTAATCTTCTGACTAAAACATCATTTAGTTTCATTCATAATTTAGGCGTCTAAATTTCCTAAGTTTTTATCAGCTAAATGTTGTAATGTTATCATAGACTAAATCTAAAGGTGACAAAAAGTGTAAAAGTTTGTTTCTGCCACTGAGTTATTTACAACTCATTTCATTTTTATTCGTTAA